AAGTCCAACTCAGTCCAACTTAATATCAACATCATAATCCTTAGAGCTTACATTTTAATGTCTGTAATAAATTGTATGATAATTTATCCAGATACGGGAAAACTAAGCCATAAAGTCCTGCTGGCTTGGATACGGTTCACCGCACAGAGAAGGGAGGAGAGAAAAAGAAACGCTATCGCTGTCAACTTTCACAATGCTCATTGTTTAGGGTAGGGATTGTGAGATTTAGCTATATGGCAATACACATTCCATAGTGCTGATGTAATGGTTAAGGTCAGAGGTAACTGTTGCTAATTTTAGAACACCTTTGTTGTCACCATAGTAACCTTATATTTTTTGAGTATCGATTTAACTTTAAACAAATGTTAGGTATAGATAAAAAATATCAAAGGCAAATTTGTTGCTTAAGGTGAAGGAGGTAAGGTCAAGGTCGATGTCAATGTTACTATCATTAAAAACTTTTGTCATAACTCTAATGACTTTACCTTCTAAAAATATGTTTAAACTTTAATGTATTAATGGCAAGAGATGATAGTTCTTGAGGAAAAATTATGTTGTTAAGTTTTGCTGGTTAAGGTTTTAAGGTTTTTACTGCATCTTTTTTTATGGGGAAATCTTACTTTTAAACATTCGGTAATCCCTGTACTTGTTTGTGGTATGATTACAGTCAGGCCTGGCTTGAGTGGAAGAATCAGCACACACTTGTACAAGAAAGAGCAGAAATGGAAGCGACAGCGCTGCAATTCTGGGCTTACCGCCTCCAAACACAGGTACTGGTAGCATTTTACTACATGTAGTGATTTTTTAATCATTGAAGAAAGCATGTTGATTTACCCTGACAGAAATATGTAATTATCCAGCAGAGTCTTGTAGTTGTTCTTTTTGAACCTTTTTCAAATAGATTTTCTGGATATGCCTGCATGCTTATATTATGAACAACTCTGAAAAAAATTATAGAATAAACAATACTAGTTCCCAGTGATGATTCCACAACGCTGTAGGTCATATTTCTTTGGAACCTTTTCCCCGCTACACTGTAATTTATAAACTTTTGTACTGTAATGCTTTACATTAATAAAGTATTATTAAATGAATCATCCAAATTTCATGTATCATATTAAATCAGGCTCAGTCAGCATTAAGTTGTGTTTTTAACAATATCTTCCTGCGTAGTTCTGGCTTATCTGGCGTAGAAAGTTAGACGTGCTGCAGGAGAGAGAGGCTAAATTGAACCTGGCCGTGAGGTTTCACAAATATACCCTGAAGAAGAAGATACTCATGGCCTGGGTGAAATACTGGTTGGGAAGGAAACAGATACAGCAAGAAAAGGGTAATTACAATTTTATGTATTCAATGTGATTTCTTGAGTTTCCTTGGGTTTGTTTGTCCTAATTAATGCCTTATGATTAAAAATAAAAATACTCGAAATTTATCCCTTTTACCACTGTAAACCATAATGGACTCCTCCATATTAATGCATGGAGAGTCTACTGAAATTACATAGGGGTGAAAGGGTTATTTTGACATTACATATATATATTGTTGTTGTCAATTACAAGACATCACTTCCAGTGTTCTGAGCCTTCACGGTTAATCACAACAGTATTGTAAGCTGATCAGCTGGTCTGAAGGACCAAAGTGAGCATCTGCCCTACATTGGCGTCCGTCAACAATTTCTTCAAATGACTTCTTCTTAACCACTGATTGTAATTTTATCAAATTTGACTGGTAGTATCCCAAGAAGGTGGGGATTTAATATTGTACAAATGAAGGGAGCAGACCCTTAGAAGGCTGAGGGACAGAGCTAAAATGGGGGAATTTGCCATATTGCATTAAGCAACTTCTTCTCTGAATCTAAATCCCACTATATATGTGACATTAACATTTCACCAACCAAATTGTGGCAGTATAGAATGCTATGGTATTTAATTATGTTGGCAGCTTATTATTTTCATCCCTCCTTCTGTGTCTTCTACATAAATGACATTGGAGAAACATGAAATGTCCATCTGCTACCCCAATTATAATTCTTGGGATTTCTAGTTTTTTTGTTTATTTCTCTTTTACCTGCACTTTCTCTTTGGCAGTGTCAGCCTTAGTCTGAATTATTCT